CCATAGTAACTACCCCACTACAGCCTAAACAAACTGCAGCAGATATGACATTTGACACACCCCCATAGGCAAAGTGGGGGAGAGCAAGGGGTCACAAGACCAGTCAAGAAAGGCAAAGCAAGCTCAGGGTGGATCACAACGTCACCACACACACTGAGCACAAGCAAAGGGCCACAAGGCCAGTTCACTTGCAGAGGCATATATGCAACACAAACATCACAGTGATCTCTACCTAGCAAAGCAAGCATGCAGGTATATATATACGGATCACAGTACAAGCAAAGCCTACAGCAAGGCATGAGCTTTGGATCATATGAGCACCTGCTTACCTTCCACTTTCAGCGCAACGTGATGGGCAGGTAGAAACAACACACGCAGGTAATCAGTATTACTCACCGATGTGCAACGCAATGGCTGGAGAAGAGGTGCAGGACCCTTACACGCAGCCGAGCCACCAGGCCGTTTGTGCTATCCATCATCGCACCTGCGCCATCCGTGCTAATCCCGGCCACCCTGCTCATGTCGATTCCAAGAGAGTCAAGTAGGGTCAGCAGCAGGGAAATCAACGAAGCGTCATCGCATTTCTCCACCGTCAGTAGACCAATGAACTCAGTGACTACACGAGAGTCACGGAGAAACGTGGCAAACACGATCTGGTGTTTGCCATGCACACGATCTGTACTCTCGTCACAGGTAACTCCGATGAATGGACTAGACTGTAGCCAGACTTGCTGACGAGCACGGAGATATGCTGCAGTGCTTGCGATGAGCTCGGCAAACCCGTATCTGCATCAAACAGAAAAAAGGTACTTAGGGTTAGCAACATTGATCAGGTTGTGCACAACCTCCGTACAAAGGTTCTTGGGTATAGCAGCATTTGTTGAACAACGGCTCACCTGGTGTAATAAGCACCGTAGCCATTCTTCGGGAAGCCTGGTGTCTGTCGATCTGCAAGGTGCCGAACGAATTGAACCCACATTTCAATCGGTGCGTCACATTTGCAGACGAACAGCAAGGTCTCCAGCAGAGCGATGACCCTTACGCGCTGGATGTCTCCGGCCTTTGGACAGTCGACGATGCGCTGCTGGTTCTCAGCTGCCTGCTCCGCCTGGGCCTGTCTCTTGACGGACCGTTTGTGCTTCCTGGAGCTTTGATGTGTGCGGAACGCCTGGGTTTGGACGTCGACGGCTCCTTCGCCAGCAGCGCTGTAGTTTGTGCCGTGTCCTGCGTGCTTGATACACAAACTGCACCTCACTGATGGGTTACCGAACGAAGTTCGACAAAGCACGAGCCACGGGAAATCAGTTGACCATTCCCGCTTTTACTTCATAAGCGCCTCCTGGTATTTATCCTCTGCCTCATCGCGAAGTTCCTCAGTAGATGAAGATGCTGCAGGAACGGCCGATGGTCCTGGAAGAGCTGGCTCTAAGCGGATACGTACGGTGGGTTCCGTAGGAATTTCGCGAGAGAACGACAAGCGCGACTGTTTGTGCTTGGTCGCTCTTAATTTAGCAGTAGCGGGCGGCTATGACTGCGGGAGTTCGAGATGAACCAGCTGCGGGTGAGGGTGTTGGTAACGTGGACACAGCCCGAACAGGACGCAGGAAGTCTAATCCGGTTAGACCCCGTGATACTGGCGTCGCGCCATCATGCTCGTTGGCCATGACTAGTCCGACTGAGCCAGCCGAGCTTCACTTGTGCTACTCTAACAGCAACACTAGAAGAGTGTTGGTTGGATAGAGGAGTGCTCAACGTCAGCGAGAGAGAGACACACGACGAGTTGCCTTGCCCAACCTGTTTCCAGTCTGATGGGTTTGGCTTGGCTAGTGCTTTGCGGGGGGGATCGGAACTGAACTCTCAAAGACATCATGCGAAGGCGGGAAACATACAGGGGGAAAAAATCCAACGGACCCCCCCCCCCCCCCCCCCCCCCCCCCCCCCCCTCCCCCCCCCTTTAAAAAACGCGTCAGGGTAAGCCTCGGTATTCATCCTGACGTTTCAGGGGGGAACACTACGGCCATCCTGAGTGTTCAGGGAATTTCATATAAAGATATCCTGAGACCTCAGGGTGAAAATTGTCATTATTCTGAAATGGCAGGGTAAATACAAAACTGCATCCTGAATTCAGGGTAATCAGGATGTTTTGCCCTGATAACGTGGGCCCTGGACGGGGGCAGGGCTCAGGTTTGGATTTGGCCTACTCACGATTGGCAGTGTAGCGTTTTCAAAAGCCCTTCTGAGCAGCGTGTACTTTTACATTACACGGATAGAGCAGTGTAACATCCGACTTTGATTTTTTTAGGGGCAATTGTATAACGAGGGAGTATCTTCTGAACGGTTCACTGTCCATTTATAAGACTTACCGTATGAGACACCATAAATCGTCCCAAATACAAGACAACCGAAGCATTTTTGCACATGTACGAGAGATAAGACATATGTCTTATATCCGGGCGATGACGGTACCCATTCATTCTTAGTTTTTCTACTGTTATAGCACATCAGATTAAAGCCCTGCAATTCTTTTTCCAACTTGAAACTGCATTCATCAGCTGATGTCATGTTTATTCTCAGACCCTCTCAGAAGCACCAGATCAATTTACAGGTCATCATCTGCATGGTTCTCCAGCCACTCCTCCCGCATCTTCCTCTTCCTCTCCAGCCTATCCACATGCCGCGCCCTCAGCTGCTCCTTAATTCTCTGCCGGTGGTGGTCCGTCATCCCCCCATCCCCCCCCATCCTGTCCAGGTGCAGCTTCTCGCGCTCCCTCATCATTTCCTGCCGCATGCGCTCCCGCTTCCACACGTCGCGGTGCACCAGGGATTCCAGTGGCGGGTCACCAGGCCGCCGCACGACCTCGTCACCCACCAGCAGCTCGTACGCCTCCTCCTGCTCCAGCACAAACTCCTTCACCTGCGAGGCACAAATAGAGTGGGGTTACAAAAGGATGAAGGGGGTGCCCAGGGCACTGCGCTGCACCAGATCATCTCCCACAAGCAGTTCATGTGCCTGCTTTACATGCAGAAAACCATGAGGCTGTTGAAAGGGCACACGGGTTATTTCAATCTGAAATTTGTCGACATTCGAAGGGGAAGGCAAGATTTTTTTTCATGGGATTTGAAGGGAAGGGACAAGCAGAACAGCAGCGTTGCAGCAGTGTATGCGGTATCACGCGAGAAACACAAATTACCTTGCTGGCAGCGGCGGTGGTGAGCAGTGCGATGTGGAGAGTGTCCGAATCCAGCGGATACACGTTGGCGGCAATCTTCCCCTCCGTCATGCCCGCCTGCCACCTCGTCGCCAGCTGCTGCACGTCCTCCTGCGAACCGAACGACGAAGGTACCGAGAGCAATACAAAGGGGGATGGGAAAGGGATAGGAGCTCCCCTCTTCCGTCATTCCCGCTTGCCACCTCGTCGCAGCTGCTGCACGTCCTCCTGCGAACCGAAAGGGGGTAGCGAGAGCGACACAGCGAAGGGTGAGATAGGGATAAGAGAATATCTCACATCTCGCATATGGCACGGCCAGCGGAAGTCACCCAGATGTGAGATGGGAAGGGGTGGGTCGGCGGAGTCGCTTTCGGGACTTCTCAAATGCGAATTGAATAAAAGGCCAGCGAAAAACGAGGAGGGTTACAGTGGTGTATTTACATGCGAAACGGAAAAGGTTTCCAAGAGTTACGTTGTGAAAGGTAATGAATGCAAGATGAAAATGGACGTTGGGATAAGGGCAGGCAAGGGGGGTGGGAAAGGGATAAAGAATGAGAAGAGAACAGCTTTAACATTCGACGACTCGGAATGCGTGGAAATGACGGTAACGCAAGGCATCGCATTGCCCGTCGCGGTAACTCGCGACGAGCCCTAGTGACCTATTTAATCGCATCCGCTGTCTCTCCCTCCCGCTACTGTCTGGCGCGCAGTTTCCGATTTTGAAAATTCTGGAGAAATTAAGGCGACTCGAACTGTCGCATTATTGAGAACGGCGCGCGGGGGGAGGTTCGCGGGCCGTAGCAGCGTGCGAGAGCCCTTTTGAGGCACCTCAAAAGCCATACCAGCGCGACTTTCGAGTCGAATCAAAAAGTCACTTCGGGGGGAGGTGCGCGCGGGTCGTACCAGCGTGAGTATTGACTGAGTCGACTCAAACAGTCACCTCAGGGGGAGGTGCGCGCGGGTCGTACCAGCGTGCGAGAACCCGAGTCTTGACGGAGCTTGACGAAGATGAACGACGGCCGTCGATCTCTGATCGACGCCTTCAACTCCTCCATGCGCGCCTCACGGTGCAGGTCCATCGCGCGCGCCGCTGCCGCTGCGGCGAACACGAGCACGAGAATCGCGAGAACCGCATTGCTCGGCGCCATCAGCCCGCCGGAATCGCGGATTAAGCGCATACAGACAGAAGTAGTCTTAGTACCTATGCAGCCACCTGTCTAACAACAAGCAACCATAAATTGAAACCTTCTAGCAAGGAAAAACTGGGAAACCAGGAAATGGGAACACAGAAGAGTCTTCGGCACTCCCCTGGACGCCCCCACGCTCCCTGCGCTCTTCCTACCCCCATCCGCGCACTTTCCTCCGCAGTCTCTGCGCCCCTTTTCTCCGTCCCTTTTCTCCGCCCCTATCCTTCCCCTACCTCCCACAAGTTCCTTCCACCTTCCCCTCCTCCTCACTTCTCCGCTTCCCCTCGCCCCTCCAGTCAGACCGCCCCGCTACGGCCTTTGCGGAAGTCAAAGCAACGCCACAGCAGTCCTCGGACCTCGTCGTGCTGCTCGTCCGTGCTGACGAGGCTCAGAATCACGCATCGCTTGTAACAAAATCAATATACGTATACAGAGTAAATTGCTAGTTTCTACAGCCTACATTTCATAAATCGGCTATTCTCATGTGTTCATCTAGAGTGTTCAAATATCCACATGAAGACATAATATACACGTGATCTTCTCGGATGGCCCACCAATCATGCTGCCAACGCCATGATCAATAGTCGCTTTTATAATCACTCCATCAGATCTGCTCGTCTTCTGTCGCAAGGAAGTTTGCTGCCTCCAGCAGCCTCATCTCACCACCTGTTTGCGGGTCAAATTGAAGCTTGTAGAACCTGGCAGGCGGGAGGGAGACAACACGCCACACACACACGCACTTTCACGAATTTGCACGCACATGCACATGCGGCACCAGCAACCCTGTTAAAGCACAGAAGACAAGAGTTAAGTGGTAGCAAGCATTGCCACAGCCACGCAACAGCACAGCGACAATTTGCAGCAGCAGAACCTGTACCAGCAGCAGAGAGTGAACAACAGACAAACCCAAGGCTCAAATCGATTCGTTATTCGCACTGTTGCAGTGGTCTTGGCGAGGCAGTGAGGGCCCGCATGGGCACAAGGATTGGTGCACGCATGGGCACAAGGATTGGTGCACGCACGGGCACAAGGATTGGTGCACGCACGGGCACAAGGATTGGTGCACGCATGGGCACGCACATGAGCAAACACATATGGGCGCACGCATGAGCAAACACATATGGGCGCACACATGAGCAAACACATATGGGCGCACACATGAGAGCACACGCATGAGAGCACACGCATGAGAGCACACGCATGAGAGCACACGCATGAGAGCACACGCATGAGAGCACACGCATGAGAGCACACGCATGAGAGCACACGCATGAGAGCACACGCATGAGAGCACACGCATGAGAGCACACGCATGAGAGCACACGCATGAGAGCACACGCATGAGAGCACACACATGAGAGCACACGCATGAGAGCACACGCATGAGAGCACACACATGAGAGCACACACATGAGAGCACACGCATGAGAGCACACACATGAGAGCACATGCATGAGAGCACACGCATGAGAGCACACACATGAGAGCACACACATGAGAGCACACGCATGGGCCAACGTACGCGCCAGTGCTGCCAACGACGATGACGGTGTTGGCCTCGGCACCAAAGGCAGCGAGCATGCGCGTGTGCACTCCCACCCGGTAGAAGGCTAGCGAGCGCTCGTCACTGAAGTACTTGGGGAGGACGCCTGAAAAGTGGTGTCAGGGGTTGACAGGGGTTGACAGGGATTGGCAGGGGTCGACAGTGCATGATACACTTGAGATGCCAATGCAGCAAGCATGCGTGTGTGCACGCCCACCCGATAAAAAGCCAGCGAGCGCTCATCACTGAAATACTTGGGGAGAACACCTGAAGAAGGGAAGAGGCAGTGCGAGGCAGAAAAATCAGAGAAGCCTAGCGCAAGAGGAGTGAGCATGCGCGTGTGCATGCCCGTCCGGTAGGAAGGATCTTGGGAGGAGGACTCTTGAGAGGGATAATTTTTTAGACATCTCAAAACCGATTTGCAAAGGACTCCTCCAGAACGGGGCGGGATGGAGGATGGCGGTAAAAGAGCACTTGCATTGGAGAGGTTGGGGAGGAGAGGAGTGAAGGCGAGGCACAAGACATGCGGGGAGCAGAACGGAAGAGAGCGTGTGCCCCTGTGTGGTCGGAGGCGCGGGAGCGATTCTTGTTTTTTGAGAGTGGACAACCGAATTGTGAGCTATGAGCCGTCTCAAAAACGGGGTGGAATGGGGGTCAGTTGAATCAACTGTTCTTTGAATCCACTCCTCAGCCACCCCACGCCTCGGACACCCCACCCCTCAAATCCCACCTTTCATCCGTCCAAACGATGACAGTGCCGACACCTCTCCCCCCCCACACCCTGACTCCCATCCATGGAATAACCCACCTTTCATCAATCCGAATGATGACAGTGCCGACACCGCTCCCCCACCACTCCCCGTCGCCCCTGCCTTCCCCTCTCCGCCCCCCACCCCATCCTCCTGCCCCTGCGCCTGCCCTTGGGAGTGGCGGAGTGAGAACACGTGAATGGTGCCTCTGTCACTTGCTGCTACTAGGAAGGGCGCCTTGGGGGAGAAGACGAGGCTGTAGATGTCTGCTCTCTCCACTCCCCGGCGCAACTGGTGTGAGGGAGGCAGGGAGCAAGAGCAGGGAGCAAGAGCAGGGAGCAAGAGCAGGGAGGGCGGGCAAGGAGTGACTGGGAGCACGTGCACGGTGGCCCTGTTGCTGGCTGCCACTAGGAAGGGCGCCTTGGAGAATAGACGGAGCTGTACATGTCTGCTCTCTCCACTCCCCTGCGCAACTGGTGTGAGAGAGGCAAGGAGCAAGAACAGGGAGGGCAGGGAGCAAAGGACGCGAAGGGAGGGGGATAGAGGGAACACATGTAAGGTGCCTCCCGTTGCTCGCTGCCACTCCCCGGCGCTACAGTCAGGGCGAGACTGTAGTTGTCAGCTCTCTCCACTCCCCGGCGCAACTGGCAGGATGGAGGCAAGGAAGGGTAGGAGGGAGGCAAGGAAAGGCAGGGCGAATGGAGGGAGCGGTGGGACAAAAGGTGCATTTCCCTAGAGTAAATTTCTGACGCTAGCGACAGGGCGTTTTGGGGAAGAAGGCAGATTGTAGATGTGATGTTTTGAGTCGAGTTTTGAGTCGACTCAAAACACGTGTTGGGGAAGAAGGCAGGTTGTAGATGTGATGTGGACTCCTTCTCACCTCATGCACCTTGCTCCCATCAGCCGCGTTGAAACACGCCAAGGAGTGGCATGAACACCTCATGCCCTTGCTGCTCCTGCTGGCCGTGGCGAGCCACTGCCCGTCCAGGGAGAGAGTGGTTGAGCAGGAGAGAACACACCCACCCAGAACGCACATGAATGCACACATGCCGCACAGCACATAAATACTGCTCACCTCGTGCAGCTTCATACCGTCAGCCGTGTTGAACACTCTGATCAGCGTGCGACCCCTTGCTGCTGATCAGCGTGCGACCCCTTGCTGCTGGCCGTGACCAGCCGGTGTCTGCCCCAGGAACCAGCTCACAACTCTCACGATTACCACACACAAGAGCAATCGTCACTACTCACCTCGTGCAGCTTGCTCCCATCAGCCGTGTTGAACACGCGGATGAGCGTCCCCTTGCTGCTCGCCGTGGCAAGGCGCTGCCCGTCCAGCGAGAGAGCGATGCAGGCGGGCTCCGAGTCGTGCGCCGCTATGAAGTGTGTGCGGCGCTGGTCGAATAGCTCAATGCGGATCTAAGTGGTAAGAACCGGAGAGTGGGGGGTGGAGGAGAGGGAGTGGAGAGGAAGGGAGTGGGGCGAGCAAGCTGATGGACTGAGAAAGATGCAGGCGCAGCTATGAAGTGCGTTCAGCGCTGGTCGAATAGTTCCACACAGATCTAATGGGGGAAGGGGGGATATGTTGAAAACCAAGACATGGTAAGAGAAAGTGCGTCCACAGAGTGAGAAAAATGTATGCAGGCTCCGAGCTGTGCGCTGCTGTGAAGTGCGTGCGGTCCTGATCAAATAGCCCCACATGGATCTGAATGAAAAGGGGGCTGGGGGGGGGTGTAAGTGCATGCTCAAAAGTGAGACATAGTTCACAAGGACAGAGTTCTCAATTCATACCATTCGGACCTGGTCCTTAAGTGTGGACCACCTGTTAGCTCTCCCTCAACTCACTGTCCTTACCAGCTTATCATTTTGTCGTACTAACAGTCACTTAAGAAGCGCGGGATAATCTTCCGTCCTTAAGCCGATTTCACACTGTATCGATCTCTAGTGTATTCATGACGGCATTTAAGACTTGCTACCATTGCTTGAAAAGCTGAGCCTCACTGTTTGCTGCGCGCTAACTTATCTGACTGACAAACTCTCACCCCTGAGCAGCTTGTACAGCCAGAGGATCTGCGATTGCTGACTTGCTGTCCTGCCAGCAAAAATTGGGAGTTGGTCGTCCTGAAGAGATTGGCGCTGGCGTACCTACCACTCTCAGGTCTCCCCGACTCTTTCAGCCAGCTCTCGTCTCTGAAGTCCTTCTATGTGGTTCGATGGATGATTCGCTAACTTTCTTCCGGATTCACTTCCCTGAGCAGCTTGCACAGCATGACGATCTGCGATCGCCGACTTGCTGATTCGCCAGTGAATTTTGGGGAGCTACCGTTCTGAAGAGATTGACGCTGGCGGACCTACCAGCGCCAATCTCTTCAGGACGGCCACCTCCCCAAAGTTTGCTGGCATGACAACAAGTCGGCAATCGTGGATCATCACGCTGTGCTAACTGCTCAATGAAGTGAATCCGGAAGGAAGCTTGCGAATCTTCCATCGAACCACATAAAAAGGATTCCGGACACGAAAGCTGGTTGAAAGAGTCGGTGAGACCTGAGAGTGGTAGGTCCACCCTATGTTGCGAAAGACGCGTCCTGCGTCTTGGACGCATGCGTCCAGACGTAGGACGCAGCACCAGGACCAGAAAGTCGCACCAAAAGACGCAAGCCCGGGCAGGGCAAAAAAACCCCACAGGCAGGCAAAAAAATTGTTATAGGCCCTGGATGAGCACGGGGGCGGGTCGGGCTGTTCTGGCCCGCCTCTTTCCCCTGCGACAATTTGCTTCGTCAGCTGTACATATAAGCTAGTCGAGAAAACCCCCTAGTTTATTACGTTGTCGACTATATCTCAGGCCAACAAATGCGGCCAGATCTGGTCGACCTGGGATGGGAATTGATAGACTGGTTGGAAATTCTAGATTCAGTGCGGTGAAATGCGGTTTTTGTTCTAATTTGAGTCAATTTCGTCAGATCTCATTCTTGCGGGGATTTGACCCCCCCGACAAATGTCGTGCCGGTCAAATTTGAGCTGCGCGACATTTTGTGCAAGCTCTAGCGCAAGCTCAGCTCACCCCTAGCTTCTCATCATGCCATCTCTCACCTAGCTCGTTCCCACACTTAGGTTCTAGTGTTAGTTAACCGTTTTAAAGTAACGGTTATCTCAAAGGGTGACGAAATGGCGTTTGTGCTAAGGGGGGGGGGGGGGGGGGGGTCGAAATTTCGCGATTTCGACAGTCGCGTCGAAATCGCGAATCTAAATTTCGCGATCGGGAACTTTTTTTTCGGGGCAGCCCGAAAAAAAAATCGATGTGCGTCCTGCGTCTGGACGCGCGTCCTGCGTCCGAGCGTCCAGACACTGCGTCCAGACGCAGAACGCAGCGTCCTCCGTGCGTCTTTCACATCATAGGGTCCACCAGCCCTAACCTCTTCAGAACGGCCAACTCCCAAATGTTTGCTGGCAGAACAGCAACTCGGCAATCGCAAATCGTCAGGCCGTGCAAGCTGCTCAGAAATGTGAATTTGACAGTCAGATCAGTTAACGCGTACCAATCAGCTCTTCAAGCGATGGTAGTAAGCTTTAGATCTCAACCCACCCACTATCCATCCCAACTTACCCACCATGTGTCCCAACTAGAGATGAGCAAAAGGCGAACACGAACATGCTCGTGTTCGCCTTGCCTCGAGCACTCGTGTTCGACGAACCAAACATGTTTGTGTTTGGCCGAACACAAACCAGTGGAGGAGGTGTTCGATGTTTGCGAAACATCTTCGCGTTCGCCTGTAGGCAGCCTTCATTATAGTCAGAGGGTGTAGGGATGGTGGATTTTCGCGTCCAGGTTGGTGTATTATACCTGGTGGACGTTTGGGAGTGGAGGAAATAAAACACCAATGGATCCACCAAACCATTGTAGTCTAGGCTGTGGGAGGGGGGTTAGGCAAAAGTCGAGTGTAGGAAATAGCTCGATTGTGTAAACCCATTCACCTAAACTAAGGATCGAGGGACGTTGCCAATGAACACGTTTGTGTTTGTCGCGAACACGAACGTGTTCGTGTTTGGCGCGGCTCGGCTAGTTGCGGCGAACCGAACACGAACATGTTCGCCCCCAACACTTTAGGCAAAAAAAAAAGTGTTCAGTTCACCTCGCCCTCGTGCTCATGTCTAATCCCAAATCACCCACCATCCATCCCAACTCACCCACCATGCATCCCAACTCACCCACCATCCATCCCAACTCACCCACCATGCATCCCATTTCACCCACCATCCATCCCAACTCACCCACCATGCATTTCAACTCACCCACCATCCATCCCAGCTCACCCACCATCCATCCCAACTCCCCCACCATGCATCCCAACTCACCCACCATGCATCTCAACTCACCCACCATCCATCCCAACTCACCCACCATGCATTTCAACTCACCCACCATCCATCCCAACTCACCCACCATCCATCCCAACTCCCCCACCATGCATCCCAACTCACCCACCATGCATCTCAACTCCCCCACCATCCATCCCAGCTCACCCGCCATGCATCCCAATTCACCCGCCATGCATTCCAACTCACCCACCATCCATCCCAACTCACCCGCCATCCATCCCAACTCACCCACCATCCATCCCAACTCACCCGCCATCCATCCCAACTCACCCACCATGCATTCCAACTCACCCACCATCCATCCCAACTCACCCACCATCCATCCCAACTCACCCACCATCCATCCCAACTCACCCACCATCCATCCCAACTCACCCACCATGCATCCCAACCCAACTCACCCACCATGCATCCCATTGATCCCATCACCCATCATCCCACCTGCTGCCGGTGCTTGCCAGGGCACGCCATAACGAAACTGTTGGGCGACTGGGACACCTCGCACAGCCCTCTGGGGTTGGACAGCGTCTCCACCTGGTGTGCGTGGGTGAAGGGGGAGGAGGGGGAGGGGGGGGGGTTGGTAGCACACAACACAAGGGACAGAGGAGAGGAGAACCACTGGACTGACTGAGACACCTCGCACAGCCCTCTGGGGTTGAACAGCATCTCCACCTGGTGAGCGTGGGTGAAGGTGGGTCAGTGGCATGCAGGTAAGAGAGGGTGGGGAATCAACAGATTGGGACACCGCGCACAGCCCTCCAGGGGTTGGACAGTGCCTCAACCTGCCATATGTGGGTGGCAGACAGGGTGGCAGACAGGGGGGCAGACAGGGTGGCAGACAGGGGTCCACAGGTATGATGAGGATAGTCAACGCACAGCGGCGACAGGGCTGAGACACCTCGCACAGCCTCCCCGGGGGTTTGACGGCGTTTTCCAGGGGTTTGACGCACACCAGATATGGTTTTTTGGGAGATGGTGAGATGCACACAGATGGGTGTGATGGGGATGATATCACCAGTGATGCCCACGCACAACAGTAGCAGGCCTGAGACACCTTACACAGCCCTCAGGTAGTCTACAGCCCTAAGCATCACGTGGTGCAGGCATCACCCGGTCCACGTTGATGCGCTACCTGCTGCAGGTCCCACCTGGTGCAGCAGCTTCAGGTCAGCGAAGTTGTAGACATAGAACTTATGCTCCAGCACCACCACAACGTGGTCCCTCCTCAGCCCTGTGCTCTGAGACATTACCTGGTGCACGCACGTTGAGTGCGTTACCTGGTGAAGCAGCTTCAGGTCTGCAAAGTTATACACTTAAACTTGTTGCAGGTCTCATAGAGTGCGGGCCTCTGATCCCATCTCACCTGGTGCAGCAGCTTCAGATCTGCAAAGTTATAGACGTAGACCTTATGCTCCAGCACCACCACGATGCGGTCCCTCCTCAGCCGCACGCCCCTCACTTCGCTGCGGAAGGTGAGCTCCCCGATGCACCGGCTGTGAGAGTCGTCCCAGATCATGGCCTGAAGGGCAAAGAAGTCCAAGGGGGTGGGGTGGGTGGGGAGGAGAGTGGGGTTGAGAAGGGGAGAGGGAACGACATGCGGAAGGTGAGGTCGCCGATGCACCGGCTGTGAGAGTCGTCCCAGATCATGGCCTGAAGGGCAAAGAAGTCCAAGGGGGTGAGGTGGGTGGGGAGGAGAGTGGGGTTGAGAAGGGGAGAGGGAACGACATGCACAAGGTGAGGTCGCCGATGCACCGGCTGTGGCTGTCGTCCCAGATCATTGCCTGAAGGGCAAAACCGAAGGGGGAAAGGGGATGTTGGGGGGATGTAAGCAAGAGAGGGAAGGACGCAATGGAAGGAGATGAGTTGGGTGCGTCATCAACCCACGTCGCTGGGAAGGTGAGGTCGTCGATGCACCGGCTGTGAGAGCCGTCTCATACCATTGCCTGTAGGAAGGGGAGGAGGGGAGAGAGGGAAAGACGCGTTCAGAGGAGCTGGCTTGGATGCGGCCTGCGGGTCAGTCAGAGGTCTGCGGGTATAACCCAACCCACGTCGTTGCGAAAGGTCAGTTCACCAATGCACCGGCTGTGCTGTCGTCCCAGATCATTGCCTTTTGCAGGGGGTGGAAAGGAACAGGTTGGAGGGAGAGGAGGAAAAGACGTGAGCACTGACTCAGCTGGGGGGGGAAAGGGGGGGGGGGGGGGAGGGGGGAGGGTCCTCATCCCACGTCGCTGCGGAAGGCCAGCTAGCCGATGCACCGGCTGTGGCTGTGGCTGTTGCCCCAGATCATAGCCTGAAGGGAGAAGTGGAAAGGGTGGGTGGGTGGAGGGCAGGGAAACGAGCGGGGTGGAGGGGAAAACACAACGACGAGCAGAAATGGTTGTGAGCTCACGAAACTGTGACTGGTCACCTCGCCAATGCACTGGCTGTGACTGTCGCCCAGATCATCGCCTGCTGGGTGGGCAGAGGGGGTATAGGAGGGGGGAGGGGGAGGGGGGAGGAGGGAGGAGGGGGGAGGAGGGTGAAGAGGGTGGGATGGAGTGGAGAGGGAAAGAAAGGAAAACAGGGGAAGGGGACACCTGCATCAGCTCGCCGATGCACCACTGTGACTGTCGTCCCATTTTTCTCGCCTCTCTGGTTTCTTCCCCTTTTGAATCATCCCACCTCATCTCTCTTCGCCACCCCTCTAGTCTCCTCTCTCTAATCTCCTCGCCTCTCTAATCTCCCCGCCGCACCTCGTTAGGCGGGTAGCACGGGTTGGGACCGCCGCCCACAACCTCTCCTAACTCCTCTTGTCCCTCCACCTCTTTCCTCAACTCATCTCATCGCTTCGCCATACCTTGTTAGGCGGGTAGCACGGGTTGGGACCGCCGCCTACGAACGCGAGGAAGTTGCAGCGAAACAGCATCTCCACCATGCCCACGCCGCGCCCGTCGAAGTCGCGCCGAATCGTCTCCCACAGTGGGTCGCAGCAGAACACGCGGAAGCCGCCGCGCGTCCCGCACGCGAAGCACGTGAAGTCCTGGTTGAACCGCACCGACAGCGCCTCGCCTTCCGCCTCCCGCTCGCGGGAGCCCTCGCGGGAGCCGCCGCCGCCCACCTGCGCGGCTTGCGCGTCGTGCGGCAGCGTGGAGGATTGCAGCGCGGCGCCTTGCGCCGGTGGTTGCTGGAGAGGGTGGTGGGGCTGCGGGGCAGTGGCGGCGGGAGCGGAAACTGCGCCCGCGGAGTCTCGGTCGGCGGAGGGCTCCGCCTCCCTCTCCGCCATCTGCGGCTGCGCCAAAGGATCCGCAAAAGGCTGCGCGAAAGGTTGCGCGGGGTAGTTTTCCGCTCCGCCAACAGCTTCAGGGGGCTGCGCGGGGAAAGGGAAATCTACTGGCTGGGGTGCGCTATTCATGACGGCGGCAATCCCGAGGGTTGACACGATATGCAGGAAAGGTCTCGCAAGAGGAGTAGAAACAAAGGAAACTGCGCGAGCCGCGTGACGGCAGACGGCAGATTGCTCAGGTGTAGCGAAGACGGCTGACGTGGACGGTGACAAGGTGAAATACGCCGAGAGGGGCACCGAGAGCTATGGATAACAGAGTGTCGAGTACGAAAGAAGCGGTGGGAACGAGCAGGCAGGGAGACAGGTGAATGGCGGAGCAGCAAATCCAGTTGTGCTACGAAAACACGTGAAACTGGTGGAAGCTGGGGGGCGACAGGTGATGGGATTGCCGAGCCTGATGATGCCTCCCTGCTGAGCTGACTGCCGAACTCCGATACAAGGCAATCGTGGACTGGTGGTGGATGTTTCATTTAGACTTGCATGCATACCGCTATACAAGTGCGTTTGTGGAAATCATTACGGATTCCCTCTTAGGCACTTGCACACAAATAGGTAGTGCAACTTTAAAATCTCAGATTCATTCGGCACATGATCCTTCACATAACATGGTCGGTAGCATGCAATCCACCTTTGCTATCGAAAATTGCATAACCATTCTGGCCGATTTCAAATCATCCAAGGCAGCGATGCCAAACAGATAGCAGATAACATGCCTATTCTAAGCACTGCAAACCTAAGTAACAGATAAGCGGTGGACGAGCGCTGATGCTTGGCTTTTTCATGGCCAAGAATTTGTTGGAGCTGGGTGGTGCTACAAATCCATTCTTGTGAAGCTTGTTGTTCATAAGGCCTTGCAATATCTTTGCCTCAAGCTCTGCAATTGATTTCTGTAGCTGCTCTTTCTTCATTTGCTGCCCATGTGTCTGAGCATCAGGTGGCACAACAGCATCTGGGACCTCCCTCGGGTGCAAGGCAGGCTCCAGATGCGCCCCATCACCTCTGCTCGAAGCAGCAATGAGTTGCCGCTTTGCAGTCTCCCTTGGGAATCTCCATCAGAATCCCTCCGCACAGCTTGCACTTTGAGTTTTCGTGATTTGCCGACATCCTCAAGTGCCCATTCGAATCATACTCCTTGCTTTCCTCTCTTTGCAATGCCACGAACTTCGACGGGGGAGCTGCATCAGACTTTGAAGCGTGCTCCCTGCCTGAACTCAAAGAGTTTGTCGCCACCCTTTCAGAGGATGCCTTTCGAAGATCCAAGGCACCAAGCCCTTCCTGTTCCTGAGATTGCGGGGACAGTTGACGGCTCCTACTTGGGCTCCAAGAGGAGGATGTTTCCGAAGAAAAGTTGGCACCTGCAGAAGAAAACCTTCCACCACGCTCCTCTCCTTTGGAAACGTCGCCTGAACTTCGCTCCTGCAAATGCTTTCGCGGAACTCTGCCCATATCACCCTCCACATCCCTCTTGGTCATGTAAAAAACATGCTGCTCCCCCTTCCCATCCGCCCCGCGTCTTTCTTGCGACATAGGCTCTCCCCCAACACCAACTTCTCGCCTTCGAAACCCATTTGCTTCTTCCTGATAGTCAAACCTCTCTCTATCCACTCCTCCTTTCCGAGCCCCACCCGTGTCACCCTTGGAACCAGAACCCCTGTCAAACTTGGGATCAAAGTCCATTCGTTCCCTCCTAGCCTGCCAGCAAGCCTCCTCGTCTCTTTGCCCCACCACAACCCTCTGATAAGCTCAGCCACCATGGCCAAAACTATCCTCCTCAATATCACCTCTTCGGTATTGCTCCACCTCTTCAAACCTGCCACCATCATACTGCTTCTTCCGGTTATGCTTGGCCCACGAGTCCTCACCAGGCTCAACATCTCTCGGTTGAAACCTCCACGGTTCAGGCTCTACAAAAAGCTTCTTCTCAGGACCAATCCGGGGAATCCCAATTTTTTCCTGGTCCAAAATCAAACTGATGCGGAGCCCCATAATATTGTCCATCTCCCCCGTTCGCGTACAGATGCGCAGGTTGCATCCTAGCCCTCTGTTGCGTCAACCACCAGGCAGGAGCATTCGGATCCTGCACCAGCTCGCCCCACTTTGCCGGCAGTGAACGAGACGAGTCTCTGGAAGGGTATATGTGCTGACTAGTAGGTTCCGTGCATCCCTGCTCACAATCGCCATCCACATCTCGCTCCCAGCCTCTTCCCTGGCCATCATGACCTGCATCTCTCCCTGGGCCGTCCCGACCACCACCCCATCGTTGGTCCCTCTCAACAGCATGTCCACTGGAGCTGTGATGCGGTGGTACCCTCTCCCAATCGGGGCGCGACGTAAGATGCCTGTCCCGCGAATCCTTCGAACCCCCGTGTGCATCCCAATCGCCTTTCCCATAGTTCCTGCTGCCACCCTTATCCTTAGGGTAATACTCCGGTTCGACATGTTCATTGCCACCCCTGCAAAAGCCTGCCCTGAAATCACCATGGTACAGCAGTGGCTGAGAACGCGATGAATGGGGTACGCTAGGTTCAAGCCCGTTGTAATGGCCACCAGGTCCTGGAAATCGCTCATGCTCTCGATGCGGGAATGCATTTCGGCTGAGTAGTCGAACCTGAACTAGGCATGGGACCTGAGAAGCTACCTTTAATCTTCTGTACCTGTTCCTCACAGCAAGCAATCGCTGCCAATACCACATTTCCAGCTCCTGCATTTCATGCTCCCTCTCCAGCCGAAGCTCCTCCTTTTCCCTAATCAAGTCGTCGTCCCTGTCACCTCTTTCTAGCTCACCCGATGAACTCCATAGACTAGGAACCTCTCTTGAAAGTTCCGCCACGGACTGGCTGTGCAGCATAGAATCCCAACCTCCGAACACTTCGCTGTGTCTTTTGAGCTCCAGCAGCGCTGAAATCCGTCAGGCTCTTCCTCCCGCTCGATGTTGAATCCCTCTGCAGTTCACTCGAACCATCGGAAGCTAGCGGAAGCGCAATGTTATTAGCCGCGAACCTTTTCACCGGTGCATCTCCAGCCATGGCCGCAATTTCCTCCACCTCTTCACCATGACCTTGGTCATCAGAATCACTTAACGTCCCTGATCCTCGATGCTGTGCTCCTTCATCTGACTCATCGCTTGAGAACCCAGCACCGCCGTCGGCGACTGTGCCCGGTAAACCTTCACAAAAGCGATTATGAGTCACGCCAACATGATCTAAGCCACCGTTTGCAGGCGAGCCAGAAAAGAGTTTAGTCTATGCAGAAGGCGAAGCTGCGTTTGGCTAGTTCCGCTGGTAGGATTGAGACCGAGAACGCGAATGCGATGGAGAGGCTGAACGCGACCTGTCCAAAGATCGCCCAGGCAATGAGTTGGCTGACGAAACTGTACTCAAATGGCCCACAGCTTCTTTGCCTTCTGCATCCTCCTCTTCTTGATCGTCTGCATCACCAACCTCGCTCTTTCTCTCCTCCAAGCCTTCTGTTTTGTAAAAAAGATGGACCTGGTTTCCAATCCGGAACGAGCTTTGTGATTTCCACGTCTATCATCTCTGCGATGCTGATCACATCTTGGTCGGAAATAGCAAGCTCTTCAACCATCTCGCTCGCAACACAAAAAACCGTGTCTTCGTCCATGTTGAACGGGAAGTGAATGTTGCGCACAAACCCTGAATGTCAAGCAAACGAGTAAAAATCTTGAAAAATAGAATCAGGTGGATGTAAAAAATTATACAAAGCTGTAAGCAAACAAGCTTACCTTCTGAATCGACGATCCTTATACGAAGAAACAGAATGTGGTCATCATCATCAGCCAGCTTTCCCTTGACTTTGAAATATCGACTGCAGCGGAGCCGTTCTGCTTCATGCAAACCTTCAAGATCACTGTCGCTAGATCTGCTTGCACTGTTCAGTTGCTGCTCAGAAACGTTGTTCTCGATGTTCCCATGCGTCTCCGTCTGCAAAACGGGCTTCTCCGGGCTTGACTTGGACCTGTAAGAATCCTGACATTGGCTTCCCACGCTTGACAGGTCGCTTCCTTTGGACATGGAGCGAGAGAGATGCGACATGTCTGTTATAGTCACAATAGGCTCCAATGTGCCTAAAACGAAAGATAGAGTGCACAGCCGGATTTCTGCATAGCGGCTTCAAACGTTCATAGCGTTCTGGTCACAACTTCAAATGACCTGATTCAACTTGGATCTGGAGCGTCTGAACGTCGCCTACAATAGGCAATTTAGATCGCACAATTTTACCAAGTATTGACGACACAGTGTCGGTTTGAACGAACGGCACTATGGCAGCCACTATAGTCTTAGAACACAAGATAGGAAGAGTTAGGAAGAGTTACGAGTTGGGAATGACTCCCAGCTCCTACAAATCCCAAGAGCCGAGGTACGGTGATGTGGAACAGTGCCACATTGTCCCCAACCACGAAGGGTCTTGAAAATACCCTTCACTAGGGCCTACACCAAGTGAAATGTTACACTACACAAAGTAATGTAACTATCTTCAATATCTTGAGGTGTACCCTTTTGGCGAGCTTCGAAATCACTTGAGGCTTGACACCAAGGCTCGGGCTCTTCATCACAAACTCATCCTTGAGTTCTTGATGGGTCTGCTGCACACACCCGCGACACGCCAAACGTTCGACACAGGACAAAATAGAAACCGCGCACGACAAAAATAGAAACCGCGCGCGAGACACAAACGACCGCGTAACACGCGTCTAGCGATAACTCGCTATTGACTCGACACACACACTCGACATCATGACTCAACATTCACACACAATTATAAGCATGAAATATATATTATCCCATGCCCTCATACCATTCCATACACACACACACATGCACGCACACGGACAACAAGCCGAGTGCAAACCGTAGGGTTGCACCAACAAACTCCCCCTCGGATTGTTGGCCTTAGGATATGTTGCTCTCTCAGTTCAGAGCCATCCCAGCCAGCTTGCAACACTTCCAATGCTGCTGCTCCACCAGCCTCTTAGTCATCATGTCAGCCGGCTGCCCCGTGGTCTTTACGTACCGCAACTCAACTTCACCCGCGGTCACCATGCTCCTTGT